GGTGTGAGTGTGCTGTCGGCTGCACGCGGCAGGGTGTGAGTGTGCTGTCGCTCACGGCGGACAGGGTGTGATTGTGCTGTCCTCGACGCGCAGGGTGTGAGTGTGCTGTCCTCACACAGGCAAGGTGTGAGTGTCGCTGTCCTGCCACACAGCAAAGGTGGTGAGTGTGCGGCCGTCTTCAGCAGCAGCAAGGGTGAGGTCGTCGCGGAGGGGGGGCTGTGAGTGTGCTGTCCTGCACCAGGCATGGGTGTGAGTGTGCTGATCCTCCACAGGCGAGGGTGTGAGTGTGCTGTCCTCACGCGCAGGTGAGTTCTGAGCTGCGCAGCAGGTGTTGAGTGTGCTGTCCTGCACGCAGCAGTGGTGTGAGTGTGCTGTCCTCACGCGGGCAGGGTATAAGTGTCTCTGTCCATCACGCGCGCTAGGGTGTGAGTGGTGCCGTCTGCACGCGGCACGGGTGTGAGTATGCGTCCCTCACGCAGCAAGGTGTGAGTGTGCTGTCCTCACGCGGCAGGGTGTATTAGTTGCTGTCCGTCGGCGGCGGTGGTGAGTGTGCTGTCTTCACGCGCAGGGTGTGAGGTGCTGTCTTCCACAGCAAGGTGTGAGTGTGCTGTCTTCACAGCAGCAAGGTGTGAGTGTGCTAGTCTTCACGCGTTGGGTGTGAGTGTGCTGTGCGGCTCACGCGCAGGTGCTGAGTGTGGCTGTCCTCACGCAGCAGGGTGTGAGTGTGCTGTCCTCACAGCAGCAGAAGTGTGAGTGTGCTTGTCTTCACCGCGGCTGGTGCTGAGTGTGCTGTCCTCACGCGGCAGGTGTGAGTGTGCTGTCCTTCACACAGCAAGGTGTGAGTGTTGCTGTCCTCAACCGGGCATGGGTGTGAGTGTGCTGTCTCTCACACCGCATCAGGTGTGTGTGGTCTGTCCTACGCCAGCAGGGTGTTGAGTTGTGCTGTCCTAACGGTCGGCAGGGGTGTGAGTGTGCGTCCTACACGCGGCAGGGTGTGAGCTGTGCTGTCCCTCAACACAGGTCAAGGTGTCGAGGTGCTGGTCTAACGCGCGAGGCGTGTGAGGTGTGCTGTCCTAGACGCGGCAGGGCGTGTGAGTGTGCGTGTTCCTCAACATCAGGCAAGATGTGAGTGTGCTGTCGCTCACGCGGCAGGTGTGAGTCGTGCCGTCTTGCACACAGCAAGGTGTGGAGTGTGCTGTCCTCACACAGCGGGTGAGGTGTGTCCGGCAGTGTGGGCTGTCCTCGGAGTTTGTGTGCGTCGTCAGCGGAGAGTGTGATGTGCGTCCTCATGCGGTGTGTGTGCTGTCCTCACGGGCAGGGTGTGAGTGTGCTGTCGTCTCACACAGGCAGGTGTGTAAGGTGCTGTCCTCACGGGAGGGTGTGAGTGTGGCTGTCCTGCACGCAGGCAGGGTGTGAGTGTGCTGTTGCATCACGCAGCAGGTGTGAGTGTGCCTGTCCTTCACGACGGCAGGGTGTGAGTGTGCTGTCCTGCTCTACGCAGCCAGGTGCGTGAGTGTGGCTGTCCATCACGCAGCAGGTTGTGTAGAGTGTGGCTGTCTGTCACGCGGCGGGTGTGAGTGTGGCTGTCCTCCGCGGCAGGGTGTGAGTGTGGCTGTCCCACGCAGGCATGGGTGTGAGTGTGGCTGTCGTCCGCGGCAGGGGGTGTGAGTGTGGCTGTGCCGTCAGGCCGCAAGGTGTGAGTGTGCTGTCCTCAGCGCAGGGTGTCGAGTGTGGCTGTCTCACGCGCAGGGTGTGAGTGTGCTGTCCTCACACAGCAAGGTGTGAGTGTGCTGTCCTCACGCGGCAGGGTGTGAGTGTGCTGTCCTCACGCGGCAGGGTGTGAGTGTGCTGTCCTCACACAGCAAGGTGTGAGTGTGCTGTCCTCACGCGGCAGGGTGTGAGTGTGCTGTCCTCACACAGCAAGATGTGAGTGTGTTGTCCTCACGCGGCAGGGTGTGAGTGTGCTGTCCTCACGCAGCAGGGTGTGAGTGTGCTGTCCTTACACAGCAGGGTGTGACCGAATCATGTTGTCAGAGGCTGGGGCCTTCTGTTTCGATTTTGCAAATCAACGAGTGTATGCCTGGGAGGCCCTCGCAAAGTAGTATTGACGCTGCATGATTACTCGAGCCTTAAAGGCCCACACAAAAACGCATGGGCGCTCTCGTAAAAGACGGCTGCTCTAGAATGGAAAGATTGCTCACCAGACATTTATAATGCTGAGCATGAGGATTTTCATTGGTGAGTCACTAACATGGCTTCTAAATCTAATGGAATCCCGTCAGGCACAAAACACTCGCACGTACGCGTACACGGTCATTGACATCGCATCGCATCATTTACAACGTAGCCATGTAGTCGCATCACTTATATAGACAACATTAGATTTGGCTGGTCCTCGCTGAAATAACGCGACAAAGTGCGCATGTTGGGTCAATGCCGGAGTGAAAAGGTGCTATTACCTGTCTTACGACTTACGCGCACACGCTATCAGGCGCTACTTCAGCAACCGATCGATGTGAAAAACGTGCTTTCTGCCGAAGAAGGCTATAATTTGATATAAATTAATATCTCGCGCACTGTTTCACGTGCTTTTCGTGTGGTGATTGGCGCGTGGCTCGCCGCGCTGTCAGCACGCCGTAAAGAGCTTGTTGTTTTCGTGAAGAAGTATAGCATCAATAATTCAGCTGCCTATTCCCAGTAGTATGGACTAACAAGTGTTTTTGCCTTACAGTATGACGTAAAATAAAATGCAAACAGCTGGTATCGCACACCCAACCTAATCCGTTACAATTTCAATATGTGCAGTTGCTTTGATCGTAATGATATTGCCTGTCTTGCCATCGGTGATCTGATATTAAATGGTGGACGAAATAAATGAGACGCCTGTGTTGCCATCGCTATACTATAATACATTAGAATAATGATGTAATTAGATGATATGTGTATACGTGAAAATCGGCAAATCATGATCAGAATCCCCATACTGTGCGCTGCATCCTAATTATAGATTATCCGTGTTCTTGTTCTATCGATACTACGACTGAATAATATTGTATCGTCTGAGTAGATAGTATTCGACAAAAAGCGGCAAGCAGTAGAAAACAAATCATCACACAAAAACAAGCAACTTCCGAACGAATTGAATTTTCACCACGAGATAACACGGGTTCGATCAAAATAAACCCATTTCCCTAATATTTCTTTATTCCTATATTTCCATCTACCTTTATTCAATAAGCGACTTATTTTCAACTTTGGCAGTCTGCATGTTCGTTCATCGGATATTGGAGCGATCGTGACGTCGGCAGTGGTCCGTTGAGAGTCCCAACGTAAATGTCGTTTATCGAACACGAGCGTGCAACGTGAAGCCTCTACATATGCCGCGCGTACGTGCGAATGGCACCGCATTGATTCACTCTCCGATGCCACGAGCAGCACGCACTGATTCAGACAAAGCACGGACGCGCGACCGTTGCACGCGGTATATCGTAACGTCAACAGGCATGAAGTCCGTGGTGGCGCGACAACTCGCTGCGCACTAACAATAGATTAATCAATAGCCTTCACGCGATAATCATCGTGTAATTTCCGATGGCGTCATCACGCGTATGCAGCGCGTGATGTGGTGAGTATTAGTAGTATTAAGCTGATGACGTTCAGGGCCGAGAGGCAGTCGCTCAAATCACGCGCACTGTGGAAATAGACGCATGCGATTGATTACATAGTACGTCACCTTACAGGCAAACGGCGCGATATTGAGAAAGAGAGAGAGAAGGCAATTAATAAGTTAATCCTGTTAGTGGTCTCAGCTCGCACGTTGGAGGTTTCACTCGGATGTGTGGCGACGGGTGAGACGGGGAAATGAGCAGATGGTGTGTGACGTCATCGTACACGATTTGCGTCATCGATAGTCGCGTTTTCTCTTATTGCAAAATTAATGCAAAATTTATCAATAGACGTCAAGCGGATGGAGGCTATCTGACGAGTATGGAGGCCCATGCAGCTGTCTTTCATATCCCTCGCTATCACATTCCGGAAAATCAAAAAAAATAGAGTTAGTGATATTCAAGTCTTCAGCCTTTTGTGAAATATTTAATTGCCATTTGGACGTCCATAATCAAGCCGTTAATCCGGCGTGTATTCATTTGCCTGACGCACGCACGCACCACGGTCAGGCGTTGATCAGTTAGCCTGGTGATCATGACTCAGTCTGGTGAGGATGGAATGCTAAAACGAACAAAACTCGCTCCCCATACCATTTGCGCGTCAGTAAAATGTTTACCCCATAACCTGCGTAACGAAATTCTGTATATCGTTTCTATTTCGTATTACTGTATGTAAAGAATGCCGTACATGATTGTTTTGTATTATATATATATAGACGCCAGCTACGCAGGTTGGTGTTTTCCCCTGCCCCGTTTAATCGCAGCCTTAAGATCATCGGCAGTGTTGTCATTATATGTCAAAGTTTTCTTCATTTAGTTGGAATCACTCACTTAGTTATGTTAATAAAATTGCAGTTAATTAGCATTATACATATTCCATGTTCCACAACCTACACATAACGTTTCAAAAATGTGTGAAACTCTAATAATTTGCGAGGCATTTTGTTGAAAGGAACGTCTGCGATACAATACGCCAGACCCATGACAAAGAAACTAATTTGGATGACCACAACTTGGCCGACGCAGGAATGAAAGCAATTCGATGCTTTCGCATTTCTTTGCCTACGATAGTCTGTCTATTCGCCAAATTCGCTTGTCAAATTGTTGTGCACCGTCTGCGACGAGCTGTAAGAAACTATGACGGTGTGTGTGTATGTCTCTGTGTGTGTGTGTATGTCTGTGTGTGTGTGTGTGTGTGTGTGTGTGTGCGTGTGCGTGCGTGCGTGCGTGCGTGCGTGTGTGTATGTGTGTGGGTGGGTGCACGCGCGCTATCGTACGTGGGCGGATGCGTGCTCGCCCACACACGTCGTCGTCTGAGTAAGTGCGTCATGGCCGTGCGTCATCACTGATTCACACTACTGCGTGTTCACAGGACCTTGGGCAGATCCAACTCTCCATGAGACTCGAGCCACAGGCAGAGAGACTAACTATAACGCTTTCAAAGGCCAAAGACCTACCGAAGAACGCGTCCGGGCAGACGCCGAGTGAGTGTGCTAATCACGGGACTTTTCGCCCCTCCCCCTATCCTCCGAGGGCAGCCCCGGGAATCGTTGAAGCTAATTATAGGCTAATTAAATTGAATCGCGCGTGCTGCGAGTGGGTATTGTGAGAGATGCGTGTAGACGTTACTGACCGCCGCGACGGTGTATGAAGAGAAAATGTTGTGACCACTACCGGCATGGCGGGGAAGGAGAGAGGATGTTGTCATCACTGCGGTGGCTGGAGAGCGGAGAGGTTATTGCTATCACAGTCGGAGTTAGAGAGGGGGAGAGGGTGTAGTCGACGCGTAATAATGTAGCGCAAAGATAACGACCGGTAACGACCTTAAGTTCACAGCTCGCTCTCGATAAAACAGATCGGATCGTTTTATTGTACATAATAAATCCTCTCGTTAACGCTTTCTCTCCGAATTTCCCCCATACAGACGCGCAAGTGAAAATCTCAGTCATGCAACGCACGAAACAGCAGACGAAAGAATCTCGCGTAAAGAAGAGGTCGTGTCATCCTTCGTGGAAAGAAGCCTTTTCCTTCCTCATCAACGTCGACCCGGAGAATCTGCACTACTACACGAGCGTGACCGTGACGATACACGACCCAGAGATCGGTGGTGAGAGCGGAGTAATAGGACAGGTAGGTTGCGACCACTCACCTGAATGTATAGCGCGCTGGTCCCGAAATACCAGCTAGAATATCCGCACGTGTGCATGACTGCATGTTGCAAAATCACGCTACGGGTCGATGCCGTGGTTACGCGCAATTAGCTCCCCCCCCCCGTATGTCCCGCAACAGTTATTATTTGCATGTAAAACGTCCCAGTCACACATCGGGAGCTGGTCCCACAATTACAGATAAAACATCCTATAGGTGGCGCGCTGGTTCAAGAATTACAGCGAACTGCATGCAGCGCCCCCTCCGCGCAACTCCGATAGCCGAGTTCGTGCGTGACGTACATTGACGTCACGCGAGCAGTCTGGTTCATGGAAACATATGCCCACCCTCAGGGTCGAGTGAGAGCGAGATAGCCATCTGTCGTGGAGTTTGGAATTACAGTAGCGATGCATTCGTATTGAACAATGAACGTCGCGCTGCTGATAATGTTCTCCATCTCATTGCGAAGATATCTAACTTCGCGCGTCGATTGGTCTGATAACTGGGACCAATCAGACACCATAACCACGGCATCCACACAGCAATATATATTTCTTATATTACATACTCATCCCGCAATTTCTAGTCGCGAGTTTCAGTATACACTTCGTACGTGATACCAGTCGCTTACTACGCAGCCATTGTAGATACAACTAGTTTGCTAAGCAACTGCAATCTCATTCAACGTGTACGTAAACATATTATTGCGTATGTTGTGCACGCGGCATGCCACTCTGCATAGTGTTTTCCAAGATATTATATGGGTGTCGTTATATAACTTCACAAATATTCTGTTGCTTGGCGGAGTACGCGCACGGTTTAGATTTTCTAGTTGAAGACCATAATAGCTATGTTAGATAATTGCATGTAATTTCTGTATATTAAGTAATAATCGCTTTACCATTGCAGGTGCGGTTCGTTCAGTGCACTGTTCAAAACGAAAACGTGCACATACACTCTTGCGCGCACCTACACGCGAGCGTGCACCTACACGCATGTGCGTACATACACGCATGCGCGCACATACACGCGTGCGTGCACGTACACGCATGCGCGCACATACACTCTTGCGCGCACCTACACGCGAGCGTGCACCTACACACATGTGCGTACATACACCCATGCGCGCACATACATGCGTGCGTGCACGTACACGCATGCGCGCACATACACGCGTGCGTGCACGTGCACGCATGCGCGCACATACACGCGTATGTGTACGTACACGCATGCGCGCACGCATATACACGCGTGCGAGCACGCACACGCATGCGCGTACATACACGCGTTCGTATACATACGCGCATGCTCGCACATACACGCATGGGCACACATACACGCGTGCAGTCATTTACAATCTGTATACGGCACGCGGCAAGCTACTGTGCATAGCGTTATCCAAAATATCATATCGGGGTTGTTATATTATCTTCACCAATATTCTGTTGATTGGCTGAGTATGCGCACGGTATACATTTTCTGGTTAAAGACCATTAATGAGTTATGTTAGATCATTTCTGTATAAGCGTGTAATTTCTGTATATTCGGGGATAATCGCTTTATTTTTGCAGGTGCGGTTTGGTCAGGGTGCTGTTCAAAACTCGGAGATAGCGCATTGGAAAAAGGTCCTGCAGAGCATGCGTAAAGAGTCGACCGAGTGGCACCGGCTTATGGTATGCGAGGATGAGAGAGACTGACGCACACTCTAGGCTAAATAAAATCAGGACCACTTTTAGACGAAGAGACTACTGTTATATATCATTCTATACGTGCGTCTTTTGGACGTGTGTACGATGCACACGACCGAAAAGTGCTTACGTCGTCGTAACAAGATGGAGGAGGATAAAACGGAAGCATCGAAGGGGACAGAAATGAGCGTTATTGGCGCATTTTTCGATCGATCGAGACGAGCCGCGAGTTGTTTTTGCTCTTTAGAAAAGGCTTTGGTTATCATTCACTTGCGCCAGTTTGTCGCTTTTCGTTGTGCATTCGAGACGCCATTCCTCGAACGCTTCTCGCTGAAAGCTGTCTGAATGACGAAAATAAAACCGATAATCCCTATTACTTGGTGATATGGCCGAGAAAATCCATTATGCCCGAGCCGTGCGGCAAGGCGCTATATGGCGGAACGTCAGCCTTGAATTGCCAGAAAGACTTCAACAATCCACTCACATTGGCGCTGAAATGCCGAGTTACATTCCGTTAATCGCGGAAAGTCGATGATTAAATAATTATACGCTCGCCAGATGGCGACACAGATTGGACAATCGATCGCGTCTGCGTTTGATATGTAGCGAGCGATATTAGTGGTGCTAATCAGTGCCACCGGATCAGCGGTTAAGATGGAACTATAGCCTGACAAATGTGCAGCTAAATAGCCGCTGAGTTTAGGAATGCACGGCAGGATATTCGTGAATGGCGCTAATACTATGACATCAGTAGTCTAATGCACATGAACGCGCGCAATCGATACATGGATGCAATCGACATCTTTCATGCGCATTGCATACGAAAGAATCACGCTATCAATGATTTACCTAATCAATTTTGATTCAAGAAACGCGCGGTACAATATATATATATATGCGTCTGTACTTGACTAAACGACGTTCGCCTTCTTCCATAAGTTTATATCGTAGTAATTTGACATCGATATAGCGAGAGGTCTAGAGCCGCGCAATCAAGGATTAAGTAATAACGGCAACCTGAGCAAGAATTGACACTCAATGTCGAATAGTTTATGAAAGGAATCACACGCTCGCCTACGAAAAATGTTAATCCTTAGCTACCGCATTGACAATCGATTAGACTCACGTTAAATGAGATACGTGAAGAAATAGGCGCATTTCACAATAGCCTTGAAATTAACTATAATGAACTATATTCAGGTATAAGACAAAAAAGTGATCTGGAGTAATTTACTATCGCGAGTGAACATTTACATTGTAATGCTGATAGTAGGTGTTAATAGGCTATAAGACTAGCTAGGCGTGTAGTTGTGTGTATAGAGAGATCAATTCGATTAATTCGGGTATTAGAAAGTAATCGAATAATTTTGTTTGCCAAATACGGTTGCATATAAAAATGTCAAAAACTGTCGTACAGAACTTGATGTTATATTGTATATGTCACCATAACCATATGTAGGGATCGACACGGAATGTGTTAGAGAGATGGAGACAGCTAGAATGTCTCCACATGTCTTGTATATTTTTTTATTTCATTCCACTCCGGAAAAACCCACTTACATTATTTTTATCGTTAACGGAGTTTCTAATCTCTTTCATGTTGTAAAGCTATAAGAGTAAAGGTTCATTATTGTTTCAGCGTATATACCCGTTAAATATTATAGCGTGTATAATTAAAGTAGTTTCGTTACAAAACGTAAACATCCTCTCTACGTGTTTCTATAGCAGCGAGGTTTTATATGCCTATGAACATTTTATACCCATACAAATCTCTAATATATATATATATATATTCGTTGTGGATAATGACACTGCTTCGTATTTAAATCAAACCCCGTTAAAACGCCCAACTAACGATAACTACGGCGAATAAGACGACGGTATAGCGAAGTGACATCTTGTCTGAATTGCCAGCTAACGTTTTTCTTCGCGCCTTTTTAAGCCCTCACCCCACCCCCATGCACCTCTCCCGAGAAAACCGGCCTCTTCGTTGATGTAATAATATTGTTCTGCTCTCTATCGGTCAATCGCTGCCCCCGTTGAAAGACCAGCAAATGGAGACGACGGCAATAAAGCAGCCACTCATCCCACAATTAGCAGGGGCTGACATGCATGCTCTCTACTCTGCCGTTTCTATGGAGGAATCCCGCTAGGTGCAGCTCTGGTAATTGCTGCTTAGCGATCGTATTTCGGACTTTCATAAGATGATGGAGAGGAAGCAGAGGCAGCGCCAGTGACGTCGCCACACGTCGCGTTGTGTCGACGTAGCAGCTGCCTAGCAATGTATTGAATTTACCATATATTGATGAGGAGAAGGAGATGGGGAAAACAGGGAGCGGGTGAATACTTTATTTCATCATAATCTCTTTCATACTCTTTAACATCAGTGAGATGAGCGATGATGCGTCGATGATGTTTGAATAAGAATACTCCCCGCGAATCTGAATGTATGTGAGCAATAATGCGCCTGGAAATAGTGCGCAACGCCGTGTAGAATGGCGTATAACAGATTGCGCTCTCACCCACACGGACTGGTGACATTATGCGGTGAAACTGTGGAAGACGACGTAGGGTGGCGAATATTGATTATCTATCGATTACTATGACTAAAACCGAAACCCTTGGCACAAGTGAATGATGCAATACATATCAGTTCATAAAATTTGCGCGCATTGATTTTGTACGTTACTGGACGCGGTCGTTTTCATACAAGCTCAACGTTAACGCAAAATGAATGCTACCTACGTGCCTATGTTGTGTCCTGCCCTCTCGATGAAGCTTCAAGAGTTCTTCTTTTAAAAATAACTTCAAACGTAACTTTCATACCGCGCGGAATTTACTCGAAATGTATAGTTAACTCCCCCCCCCCGTGGACGTGTCTACGCGCGACCGAGGTACATGTACATGCTTGTGCGGGATTAACTTGTACTAACGTAGCTCGTTTCCCCTCGTTTCCACTCTTCCGTAGTCGTTAAACACGCTGCTGCTACTGCCGCTGGTGCTGCTGCTTCTGCGGCGGCGGCGGCGGCGGGGGCAGCGACGGCGGGGGCGTTATGCGCGCACATATTAACTCGATGGATGTGTCTCACAACGAATGCGGGGAGCAGACGTGTCATTTCTAGGCCGATTAGCTCTCGGTCTTTTCTTCTCCGTGCGAATAAAGGCATCATGACGTCGCTGCGGCTAATCAAGCGGCGCAGTGCACGACCCTGTGCACCCAGCGTCGCCTCGTCACTCTCAGTTATACACGCGCGCGAGTGCTTGCATTGTACGTGTACACATTTAAACCGGAGTGATTGAATGTGTGCCACTATTTTCACATCACGTATATGAACTAGCGTTCCAGAAATTGCATAAATATACCTCTGTGCACGTACACTCCTACGGATTTTTAAAAGTTTGTATGTGCGCGGGTGGTGCGTGCGGGTGGTGTGTGTATGTGTGTGTGTGTGTGTGTGTGTGTGTGTGTGTGTGTGTGTGTGTGTGTGTGGGGATGTGTGTGTGTGGGGGGGGGTGTGGGTGGGTGTGTGCGATTGCCTGTTTGTGCCGGCGTGCGGAAGTGACGTGGGTTGGTGTAAAATCACAACTGCGGTACTTTAAGTACTAAAACTATAATATAGTTGCAGCCTAATTGTGTTTGCTTTTAAGAACGACCTAGACGTGGGGATGGGTGCATGAACCATTGAGGTAACATTGCATACGGTATGTGGGGAATTACACTCTATAACAGCGCAGCCTCCATTGCCTGATTTAAGTAGCGATTCGCATGTAGCTATCATTCATTATCCGAGTATTCATACTATTCAGAAGGTGCGGGTGAGTGAGCGCACGTACGTGTGTTGTGTTAGACAAAATAATGAGCTAGATACAATAATGTAACCCGGCAGAATATGTATAACCCTTATTATGTTAGGCTACGATTATTGTATAGTGTTGTCTATATGTGTATGTGTGTATGAGTGTACATATGTGTATGCGTGTGTATGAGATAGAGCGTGTGTGCGCGCTTGCCTGCGTGGGTATGTGGGTTGCAAGTGTGTGTGCGTGGGTTGCGTGCGTGGGTTGCGTGCGTGGGTTGCGTGCTAGCATGCTTGGGTTGCTTGTCGGCGCAGTGGACTTTATAAGTGTCTTTCTGACACATCATGTAGCAATGCCCTGCGTGTTTTGTGCGTGGGATCGTTCACCTTTTTGATGTAAGTAGGACGCAGCCTCAAATCAATCTGAACACAGCAAAACGGTAACACAGCAGTCTGGTTTGGTCAACAGTGGATGCGTGCGTGCGTGCGTGCGTGCGTGCGTGCGTGATGCGTGCGTGTGTGATGCGTGTGTGCGTGCGTGCGTGCGTGCGTGCGTGCGTCGTTGCGTGTGTGCGTGCACGATTCTCTGCATGTATTTATTAGCGTGGAGATGTAGGCGAACGACTCATGTTGCACGTCGTACCTAGGATGAACGCAGGGTAGATTAACACTAGCACATGCTGAGATGAACATGGGTGGTTCATATTGCGTGGTTATAACGACAGCCGCGAACCATTAATAGTGGAGAGGCGGAGAAAGATTGATATCATAATAGTGGCAACAACCGCAATCAGGATAATTTAGAATTATGATAGTACTGACAAGATGACGATATATATCGATGCAGGGGCTACTGTGATCTACAAGCTGCTGCTACTGCTTTCGCTGCAGCAGCTACTACAAGTACTGCTGTTGTTGTTGTTGTTGTTGTTGTTGTTGTTGTCGTTGTTGTTGTTGCCGTCGTTGTTGTTGTTGTTGTTTTTCGTTGTTGTTGTTGTTGTTGTTGTTGTTCTTGTTGCGGTTGTTCTTATTCTTGTTGTTGTTGTTGTTGTTTTTGTTTTTGTTGCTGCTGTTTCTGTTATCGTCATTATTGTTGTTCGTGTTATTGGTGCTGCTGTTGATCATGCAAGACGACGTCTAGCATAATTATGGTATAGGATGCAGTTTAGTTTCATGTTAGCATGCAATTAGATTTACATTGACGTTCGCACTTGACAGATCTTCACACTTGTGTTAACACCCGAATAAATGTACGTTCTCTCTTGTTATTCTAGATAGAATGGACTCGTTTAAAGCGTGGATGACCACCAAGGTCAAAACTATCGAACAGAACGCGACCGAAGTGACCTCCAAGTTCGCGAACGTGCGAGTGAATGTGATGACGCCGCGCACGATCCCGGAGTTTGTGATTCCACACTTCCAGGCCGAACACGCGCCATGCAGCGGCGAGGGCACCAACAGTGACCACTCAAGTGACCGCAGCTCTCCGATGATTAGTCCGGACAACTCTAACCTGAGCATCGCGTCGCTGTGTCGCAGCCCGACGTCGCGCTCGTGTCCCGTCACGCCGATACCTCACCGAGGCGTCGAGCGCTGCGACAGCATCGAGCACAAATCCTTCAGCTCGACGGACAGCTTTCCGAGCATGATGCTCAACCTGGGCGGCCGCGATGCTGCGCGGACGGCGCACCCGCCGCCGCTCACCCGCCACGAGAGCAAGACGAGTCCCGTCTGCTCGCCGCAGCATCTGCACTGCCCGCCGCCGATGATGATCAACTCGAGCTCTTCGGACAGCCTCACGCACAAGACGTGCACGCCGTCGCCCGACCCCGCCAGCACCGTCCAGCTGAAGCCGATGCGACACAGGCTGAACTTCCGCAGCCGGTCAGCGGGCGAGCCGGGCAGCCTGGATCTTCGCCGGCCCGTGCTGCGGCGCTGCAGCCCGCATCGGTCGCCGTCGGCGTCGCCCGCCGGCTCGCCGAGGCCCGCCCGCAAGCTGCCGCAGCCTCCGATCACCAAGCGGAGAGGAAACCCGGCGAAGGTCTACCTGCGGCGGCGCTCGTCTCTCACGAGCTACGACGAGAAGCTCTACCTGGCCTGTCGCGACCCAAACGCCTTCCCCACCAGCGACTCGCTCGAGTCGGCGACCGAGGACGAGGACGACGACGACGATCGATCGTTGCCGTCGCTGTCGCCGTCGTTCGGCAAAAGCCAATCACATCACTCGCACCTGTCCGACTCGTCGTGCCAATCGAGGATGACCGTGGCGACGATTGCCACTGGCAAAGCCGAACTCGGACAGCTCAAACTGTCCATGCAGTATCTACCCGGATCGAAACAGCTCAAGGTCGTGCTGCTTAAGGGCGAGAACCTGGGCGGCGCTGCTAAGACGCATCATCAGATGAACAGCTTTGTTAAGCTGTACCTCGTGCCCGGCAAGATGCAGAAGCGCTCGTCGAAGGTCGTCAAGAACACGAAGGGCCCGACGTTCAACGAAGACTTCCACTTCCTCGATCTGGAGCTTGAGAGCATGCCGCAGATGCAACTCAAATTAAAAGTGCTCAACAAATCGCATCACCTCATCAAGCCCGAAGTGATAGGCGATGTGCACGTCAAGCTAGACCCGTTAGAGCTGACCAGCGAGTGTCGAATGTGGAAGGCCCTCAAATCCACGACAGCCACACAGGCGAGTGCTATAATATTACTAGTAGTAGCAATATTATTATTAATAATAATAATATCAATAATTATTATAATAATAGTAGCCAATAATAACAACAATCTGCACCGGAACATCTAAAGACAGTCTAAGATTATAAGATACAATCAACAGTAAAAAAGGGGAAACATCCACCGAGTACGGTCACTACAAATTATGAGCATACCATACTATGGCTTATGGTATATATTTCCAAACCGCCCGAGAGATTAAAGCTACTAAAACCAAATATTGTCATAAAAAGAAAAAAAGGAGATGCATGTCAATTACCATAGCCCTACAATCACGAAAGCGCATCTTTCTCAACGTCGATGAAAAGCTGTCGAACTAATAGACAGAAGTTGAAGTACGTGAAACGTGGGATATGATGACCGCGGCAAAACGAGTAGTACTTGTAGCACTCGAACCCCTAATTAAAAGTCATGAGAAAGGTAGCAACAGAATCTGAGGTGCTATCTACATCATCGCAGTGCAGAAGACGACCTGCTTGTTAGAACCGTCCATATTATCCGTCAACGTTGAGTAAAATTCCCCTTCGGTGACCTAGAACCATAGTTTGGACCCAGGTCAAAAAACGACGTAATTAATTAATCATCAGAAAACATTAACAACAACAACAACAACAACAGTAATGATGATGATGATGATGATGATGATGATGATGACGATGATGATGATGATGATGATGATGATGATGATGATGATGATGATGATGATAATGATGATAATAATAATAATAATAATAATAATAATTCGTACCTATTGGCACTCAGTCCTATAGGCTTCCTATTTTACGTGCTGTCGATAGATAGTTCAGCAGTGAGTCTTAGGCGTTTTGAACTTTCTAAGGCGCAGTTAGTGGCACTATTTTGGGTCAATAATGGCCCGCAGAAATCCATCGGCATGCTCTGACAGATTTCATCTGTTGCTGCTACAAACACTTGAAATCCCATAAACCCCCCAATACCACAACAATGGCTCCTCGCAGTCACTTCTGGACAGAAGCTAGATCTATATATATCATTGTATCGAAGTATCAGACTAGAGCTCGCGCTTGGGCGACTCGGCTAAAATTCGTTCTGTGACGCTCGCCCGCACGTACACGCACCATAATACACGATTTAATATGAAAAATCGCAGTGTAATAGCTATCACCGATCGAGAAACCTTTATTCGAATCTATGGTAGATATATTCACTCATGCGAGTTAGTATACTGGTTTACTCTAGGGAGTGAACTTTGTCGCGAAGGTTAACTACTCGGGAAATTAAATCACAGTCTATAATTAATGGCTAAAACCTATCACCTAATTACCGATAATTCGTCATTTATGACGTCATATGGTTTTAGGAGCAGCCACAATAAATATTTAATGTAATGAGTTACAGATGGGTATAATTACACGCAATTATTAACCTTTACCAGCAATCATCTCGTAATACTTCGCACATCATTTCGCAAATATGCCATGCCGCTGGCGTCATTGCCGCGATCATGATTATACGTTCAAGCGAAAACGGGGTGTAAATTAAGCGAAATTCGACCATTAGACTAACGGAAACCACCAAATAATGAAAGCATCACTCGCTTGTTTTGTCCAGAAAAATTACTGTAGCCTACTCCGAGAGAAAAACGGACCGAAACCGTCACGGGGTTTACGACAAAAGCGTTCGCGGGTTTTTAAAACACAGATTACACGACAAAGTGGCGCATCGCGCATCACTCGCCCGACTCCCGGTGCTTTTCCATGTAAATCAATATATAGTCAAAGAACTAGGAAGTTCTCGTAGACGCAAGCTCTGCTAGCACGGTTCTAGCGGGGATAAGAAAAAATAAAGCCGAAAGGATAAAAATGAGATAAAACCTCTTTCACGCATTCAGCACGCGTTCCGTGCTCACCACAGCACTCTTAATTCATTAGTCATTCGGTGTTCTCGAATCGCTGCCCGTTGTCTATCACCTCACCGGTAACACCTCACCACCTCTAAGCGTGGCACTCACGACGGTGAGGCGGTGGCACTCACGGTCTAACACCTCCCCGGTAACAGAGATTATAATCTCGTAACGTATACGTTCCGCATTTACGCTGTGTTAAATGCGCCAAAAATCTCATGGAAGGATCGCGCAGAGGTGAGCGTGCGGTACTAAAGCAAAAGAAAGCCACTGCACGATTACGTCCCACTGTAGGCATTCGCGGCAGCATCTGTTCGCGGCAACAATTTTTACGTACACACCTCAGGGACGACACGCCTTACAATATACTATAGAGTAATGTTACAGAGAGGTTTAATTTTGACACTGTAGATCAGGTCTTTCTCCCGCGGGACTCAGTAGGCGACAGACGTCGTCACAACGTACTCTGTAAAAATACGTTTTAAACCCACTTAACGTCCTTAATGCAACGCTGAATTGAGAAATATACCTGTACATGCGATACATTTTGTTGCACTGCTCGCTACACACACACACACACACACACACACACACACACAGCCCGTTTTACACGCAACGCACACGCCATAGAACACACACACACACACACACACACACACACACACACACACACACACACTGCTTTCTGTGTGCTTACTGCATCTGGATTTTTCATTCTCCTAACTTTGCAATATTTTTGTCAACGGTCTAAGAGAAAAGGTTAACGTTAAAACTAATGTTAAAACTCATTTTGTTTCAGACAACGGGCCCCAGGGCTTGAACCTCGTTCAAACATAAACTGTCGATGATTTTGCAGTTTTTCAATTTCGTTCTGCCTATCGGAGAAAAGTAAAATCCGGTATTGACATATAACACTAGCGCCGAAGTCGGATTGAAATAGGTTTTTAGTAAGCGAGATGACTAAATAATTTCATAAATTAACAAGCGAAATCCTGTCGTCTTTCTTCTACGACTTTTTTCTGTCGCTCTAGCACCAGCTGCGCAGGTGTTATCTGATGATGATTGTTCGCTGCGTGAAAGGTTAGGTGTGAGGCGTGGAGAAATTTTTCTCCCGTTGTAAATTACTGGAACTCTTCATAACCTCTGTGATACCGCTGTTACACTCTGTGATACCGCTGTGTCACTATGTGATACCGCTGTGACACTCTGTGATACCGCTGAAAAATACCGCTGCGATTGTCCGTCTGTCCGTCTTTCTAGGACTTTTGTTTTTTCTAAAAAAAATTCTGTCGCTCTAGCACCAGCTGCACTGATGTTATCCAATGATGAATGTTCGTTGCGAGAAAGGTTACGTGTGGAGCGTACAGATATTTTCTCCCGTTGTAAACAACTGGAACACTCTTCATAACCTCTCCATTGAAAAAATACCACTGTGATTGTCCGTCCGTCTGGAATGGAATTTGCCATTGGGGGGGGGGGTCACGGATCTTAGGTATCCAGGTAACCTTATATTATGCCCCTGATCTGTCCTTAAGATTCCTCCTTAATAGCAACGTCGTTGAGTTAGCGAGCAGGCTCGCTAGATACTGACGCCACGGGCAATCACTTCTCACGCATTTCCACGCAAACACTATTATTAGATGTTCTATATATAGAGGCAATTTTACAGTTTCTATGGGCAGTAAGGGCTAAACAAGTGGACCGGAATTTTTCTGCCTCTTTGTTAATAATAGCTGGGTGGAGCTCATGTCTACCACCTGTATTGTGAGAAAGAGACAAAGTTCGAGGATCGAGCAACAGATAAGGAGCGAGAGATGGAGAGAGTGTTTATGAGAGAGAAATAAAGAATGATATAATGAGAGAGGTATAGAGAGGGAGCGCGAGATTCCGATGAAGTGAGCGAGAGGAATTGCTGGCAAGGGAACGTAAAAGAGAAAAAGTGAGAGGGCGAGACATATTAGGTTGCCGAGGGAAAAAAAGAGAGAGGATGGGAGAGAAGAAAGATAACAATAGAGAAAGATAGAAAAGACTGCCCCGAAAGAGAGAGGCGAGGGAGACTGAGACTGAGAGCCACTGAGTATGGAAATACGCAACTATAAGTTGCTACGATAATGAGCAATAACACGAGCTGTTAACGTTCCTTTTCTTTCCTTTCATCCTTTTCTCCAAACCGGCATCCAAAATAAATTTGACGTTTTCATTGGTGGTATACACATTTAGCTAACTCTGTGTTAAACTCTGTCTCAGAAAAATCCCTCGTATTAAAATCAATATACAATAGCGTACTTTAAACTAATAAATTGATTGCAATAACCGCGTGACAGTGTGGAAAAAGAATCGTTGGAGCAACCGTTATGGAATCGGTCAATGCATTTATAGAAAATATCGAATTTCATGTACGACACGTTATTATTTAATTTGTCACAACTTCATTCTTTCTAATTATCCCATAAATGGAAAATATGGTTATCAAATGTAAAGTGGTTTACATCTGTGTCGTTATTGTAGCGGGCCGGTAGGCGGATTCCAGGGTGGCAAATACTATCATATTAGATATTAATATTATTTTACGGTCATAGTTTATTTAGAAGTACAGTACAGTTATTTTTCTTACCTAATTTTATTCGCGAATGTTTGAAGTGGTCTAGAAAATTAAACGACGAGAATGCTTAAAATTTATATTTTAATCAATTTACGGTCACGTGAATTCACACGCACATTCATACATCACACGATCATAGTCTCGAACACATATTGTGATTATATTATAATTTATTAAATATATCTTTATTTAAATTAATATATTATTTACAAATTCGATCGCTTTTTAGGCGATCTAGTAGACGCTTAAACTTCAGTATTATATACATTCATACCGTGTATGTTGCTGATGAGTGATTAGAAACATGATGATTGACTTGTTTAAATACGCAACATAACAAATATAAACTACACATACAAATATCAACTACACATACAAATATCAACTACACATACAAATATCAACTACACAATAATCGGTCGCATAAATTCTTTTTTTCCTATTTTACCCTGATATTTAATAGAAAAAGGCGAATAAAATAGGAGAAGGTTTGATCTACTTTGCGTCCCTACAATGACAACGAAACGAATATAAACTAATACATGCATAACGAAAATATGATAATAAAACTTTTACAAATTCGGGATACACCCATGGCTGATATATGTATGTATATATATATATATATATATATATAATACTGATATTTGTATATAAATATAAGTATGTGCACGGTCTACGTCTCAGTAGACACAAATCGGCTCGTGAACGTTGCGGGGAGTCCATCTTTAGCTGCGGGCGTGAGAATCTGCCGCAGCTCCGGGTTGGGATTGTGCAGCCGATACGTGCTCAGTCGCACCATCTCCACCACGAACACCCGCATGACTAGCTTCGCAAACTCCTTGCCGGCGCAGCATCGCGAGCCGGCTCCGAACGGGATGTAACTGTAGTCGGTCGTCTTGGTAACGGATGCGCCGCTGACGGTGCCGATACTGAGGCCGCTGATGGATCGGATGCTGCTGCCGCTGCTGCTGAATCCGCTCGTCGCGCTGCAGCAGCTGCCGCGGCGAATGATGTCGATTTCGCTGCTGTGGCGGATTCTGTCTATCTCGCTGCTTCGACTCGTCGTGCTAACCTTACGGAGCGCGTCGCTGCTTCGACTCGTCGTGCTAATCTTACGGGGCGCGTCGCTGCTGCTGCTGCTGCCGCCGACGCCGATGTCGCTGATGTTGCTGGAGCTCGAGCCCATCGCCACGACGGTATCGTCTGTGTCGTACCCGCTCTCCTCGTAACCGATGACGTCATCCCAGCGCTCGGGAGCGAAGACGTCAGCGCGAGGAGTGCTCTCCTGTATTTCGTGAGTGTCCCGGATACTGTAGATTACCGTCCAGTCTTTCGGAATCATGTAACCCTGGAAACGAGGGTGAACTACCGTGATTAGTTTCCACTTTCGTGTTTCTTTATCTACGATTTACGTTAATCGCGTGTTACTGCGTGTTCGGTACGGTGCATTGCAATCAGCACATGAGTTTGTTTTCATGTAAGAGGCAAATTACATAGGCAGGAACATCAAGAGGCAATCACACGCTCATTTCCCATCAACCGCACTGTACTTCAACTTAACTATCCTACTTTAACTACACTAGACTCGCTCTCTCAAGTTCGCAAATACTGATACTTACGTCTACTTCGAACGTTTCCAGTGCCTTGCGGAAGCCGCCTCCTACAGCGGGTGAGATTCTCAGCAGCTCCTTAATGACGGTATTGAGGTAGGTCAGCTTATTCAGCTTCTCCTGTGTGAGTGTGACTGACGGATCGTTGAGCTCGTGCTGAATCAACTCAGCATGAATCTTCTCGATCACCTGTAGTGAGAGGTATTATTGCAGGCATGAGTACACAAACACGTAAATATATAACGAAACATTATAATATATATATATTTATTTATTTATTTATTTATTTATAATATATAAATAAGAACTAATAATACATTAATATTGTATTATTAATAATACATAATTATGTATTATGAGCTTTTGATATATTCACATATATATATAACAAGTAAAAGTTGGATAAGACAAAGTATTTGATTAACTTTATGTTAAAGGATAGGAACACTCGACGGCTGTGAGCTAGTTCATAAGTTGCCCTATATTCAAGCCAGCTTTGACGACATGGCATTTTTGTAGCTATTTTTGTACGACGCGGCAACTTACGTCGGGCGTGTTGTGCAAGTAGAGAGCCATCATCGAACATGCACTGGCAGTCTTCTCGTGACCCAGCAACAGCATCTCGAGTACGGCAAACTTCAGCTCGCTTCTCGACACGTCGTGGCAGCCGCCGTTGATCCAGTGGTGCACGACGCGCTCGAATGCGGTGGCGTTGTCGTCGCAATGCTTGCCCGGAGACGTCGCCCACGCTTTCAGCTGCTCGTCGATAAGAAGGTCCAACTTGGCAAAAATCTTCTCGCGGCTCTTCAGCGCCTGCAGCAGACAAAATATACGGGGTTCTTATACGGCGCTGAATGTAAGTAATGTAAATGTCATGGAACATTCCCAGTACAGAGAACCATTCGAAATACATCTCCACGGCGTGATCTAATCGCCGGGTGTGCAACTGCAACTAAACACCGGCTCCCTCGCTCTCTTCCCCTCACACGCACTCTCTCTCTCCTCTCTCTCTCTCTCTCTCTCTCTCTCTCTCTCTCTCTCTCTCTCTTTCTCTTTCTCTTTCTCTTTCTCTCTCCTTCTCTCTTCCACCATCTCTCTCTCTCCCTCTGTACCCTCTCCCTCGTCCTCACTCGCTTGCCTTCTAAAGTTCCGGCTAATTCATCAAACGTATACTTACGCTGTGCAGACCGAGTCCGGGTATCTTCACGGGAAGGCTGAACAGATTCTTAGAAATGTCGGAGTAGAGTCTCGTCAGCTCGGCGGCGTCGCGCGTCAGTACGGGCAGGCCTAGCAGCTGCTCAGCGCTGATGTTAAACATCAGCCTCTTGATCTCGTCCTGCAGCAGCACGCCGGCGTCGCGCGCGCACCAGTCGCTGACGCTGCGACGCACGTGCGCCGCCGTGCGCGCCACGTAGCTCTCCATGCAGGCCGGGTCGAAGGCGCGTATGACGGCGTGCCGCCGTCGCTTGTGCAGGTCGCCCGACGACAGAGCGATGCCCTCGCCGAGGATGATACGCGTGCTCTTTGGCCACTGGCTGGTGACAAGCGTGCCGTCGCCCGTCAGGATCTTCTTGACGTTGTCGGCGCCCATCACGCGGATCGTCGGTCGGCCGAGGATGTGCGTCTTGAAGACGTTGCCGTACTGCGCGCGTCGTCGGCGGTAAAAGTCGGCTCCCTGCAACAGCGAAGGCGTCGTCGCTCGTTAAACGGGGAGACACGTATACGTTTTCGCGTACGGCATTGAGACTAAACTCATGCTACTACTTATGCTACTAGTTATGCTATTACTAAACTCATACGAAGTCGGTATGCCGCGTGTTAAAATAACACGCCGTAATTAACACCCGTAATTAATGCCAATTTTCAGTTATCACGTAATACGAGTCCTCGTTCGATAGTATTTTCCGCTAGCTGTCGGAGTGACAGTTGTTATGATAGGCATCGAATCATACGCCCGCAAATCGAACTAAGGAATCGACACCGCCATCCTGACTCGCTTCTGCTAACTCGCAACAAAACGCTAACGTAGTAATAAAATATTCACCTGTCATAAACAACCGAATCTATTTGGTACGAGTGCAACTCGACCAAGATGCTTGGAGTTCAAGATGCTGAATTAGCCGATAACCCAATTAACTTTGTCGCTCTATAAGCATTTGAGTCATGCGTCAAGCAAAGCCGTTATCAATCCTAACTAACTAAGAATGTCAACTGGCGTTTAGTTATATACTGGTCGAAAATGGAGACGAAACGAATTAACTATCTATCTATCCGCATATATTTACCCAGATGGCGAAATGAGCCGTCTCTCCAATAAAGGGTAGACCCATGCTACCGGGAGGTAGCTTGAGATTCGAACTTTTATCTCGGCTCTCCAGCGTATACGTCTCCCATAGTTTCCATGCGATGAGGATGAGTACCGGTGGTATAAGACCGGGACAGATCGCAACGAAAACCTCCAAAGATTTCCACATTGTGTGCCTGTGTAGCTTTCGACGTAAATAGACGTTGTCTTGCTTCGTACGAAAATTGATAATTATCTTTCTGCCGGGCAACCGGCTTACTTATATAGGACGGCGCGTGCCGGCGGCGTTTCCAGGGCGCGTCTGCGCATGCGCACGGCGCAGGGTCAAGCATAGTTCGCGCGCAGCTGGCAACATCTTTGGCGCAAACACGATGTCGTCATAGATTCCTGATAGATTCCTGAGCGTCTCACGTCGCCGAGGCTCACCCGGTTATAGTACCCCCGCGGCGAACGTAAGCTGTTGCTGAGTGCTACGAGGCCTGGAATCGCTCGGGCACCGTACTTTGTAGTTGTAAACAGAATTAACGAGGTCGTATCTGCACCCGGATACACGCGGATAACGATGCTACGCCGACGTAGGCACAAGGTGGACAGGAAAGGCAAGTGTACGATCACCTATCGCACCTTGGACGCGGCGGTGCAAAGTGCACTGCGGATTAAAACTACGGTCATCGTCGATATTGACGAATATTGCACCAAAACTTATGCAGTAGAAATAAAATAAAAAACAAGTATCGTCATACATAAATATATTGACTCCACTTGCTGATACTCGGGGTTTTATTGATTTCCAATGCGAGGGTTTTGAACCATGATCGTCATTATCGACGATGACGATAGTTTTAATGAGTAGTGCACGTTGAACCACCGCGTCCACGGTGCAATAGGTGCTATTTTATCGCACGCTTGCATTTCCTGCACTTGTCCATGCGTCAGCGTAGCATATATATATATATATATATATATATATATATATCTAACGTACGGAATTTTGCATAGTTTGTCTCTTTCGAAGTGAATATCTATTTCCGGCTCTGAATATCGCGGATGCTCGCAGCGCTGCCGCTGGATAGTCAAGGGCGCATGAATGCAATCGCGCCAGGCAAAAACATGCCCGCTCTGACTAAGTTCAAAAATCTGACTTTTGATAAGGTGAAAGTTCGAGGAAATCGAATTAGTTTTTTGTAACACCGTCGCATTTGGGGAACGTCTCTCTTTGATCACGCGAGAGTCGTTCAAGATGCCTCGGTTTACGCGAAGGGCAGGAAGCGGGTAAGCGGCAGCAAGCAAGTAGCAGCGCCGCCGCCCACGCGCCGTGTGTCGCCGTGCGTTCACGCTCACGTTTCAACGTAAGGCACGCTGCGGCAATACCACGAACACGTGCACAGCGCGTGCTGCACGGTGCGTCTCGGGCATGGCCTGGCACAAAACAACAGCCTTCTTACCGCGTTTGTATTGGATACACGTCGTAATGACGCACGGCCGTTACTATAGCGACGGAGTAAATAACTCTAGCCATCCTTACCAAGGAGCTAAATGTAACTATATATTTTTATACACTAACTATATATACTATATAACTTTATATAACTAAATATAACTGTTATATTTAGCTCCTTGATCCCTACTAGAGGTCACACGTGTATTATGCGTGTGCGGGGTCAACACCGCGTCGTGATCGAAGTGCTATTTGTGGTTCGTGCGTCATGTGGATTAGTGGGTATTTAAGGGATGCGCTATCGACAGGTGATATATCATGTTCCTGACAAATTAATGATTGTAGGCCCCTATAGAGCCGCAAGATGAGCTCTTGCATCTATACGTTTGCTTCTCCCATCGAACTCTCGCGCGCATCATTGCCAATAACTTAGTTATAGACCCTTCTTAATTATTATTCATGACCTGAGGTCATCGCACGAAAACGAGGCTAAAGCTAAAGTCACACCAAGCTCCCGGACCGGGCCGGACGCTGCCGGACTGATCCGGGGAGAGATCCTTGTTGGGTCCTGGACGGTCCTGGACAGTCCGGCCCGGTCCGGGGTGGTCCTTGATGGTCCTGCGCATTCCGGGATATCGCCCCGGAAGTTTTAAACTGTTTAAAATTTCCGGGGTGATCCGGGACGGTCCGGGAAGTTTTCCCCATCCGGGGTGGTCCTGGACGGTCCGTGGGGCGTCCGTGGTAGGTCCGGGACAGTCCGTAGTGGCACCGTGTTGAGCCGGGCCCACACCGTGTTGAACCGGGCCCATCCGTGGCCATCCGTGTCGTTTTTGTCGGCCACGGATCACTACGGATCAAGCCGGACCCAACATGGATGGGAGCACGGATGGGCCAGGACGGGGCCGGACCAGGCCGGATCAGGTCCGTGGCGGTCCGGGGCGGTCCGGGGCGGTCCGTAGTGACTCCGTGCTGGGGCCGGCTTCATCCGGGCTCAATCCAGGATGATCCGTGGCGCTGCCGTGCTGGTCCGGCCCAATCCGGCCCGATGATGCTTTTTTTCGACCGTCTCGTAATTTTATCACCCGGATCGCCACGGATTATAAATTTTACGGTCCGGGGAGATCCTGCCCCATCCGCGGTAATCCGTCGACAGCCTGGCCCCAGTGTGACTTTAGCTTAAGCTAGGCAATTTTGTAAACAATGGCTGCTCAGGCAGGCACGCACAGAGAGGGTGGACGCACGTACACGCGGGTACACGCACGTACATGCAGATGCAAGCACGTACACGCGGGTACACGGAGATACACGCACGTACACGCAGATACACGCACGTACACGCGGGTACACGGAGATACACGCACGTACACGCGGATACACGCACGCAGAGAAAGGGTGCACGCACGTACACGCGGGTACACGCACGTACACGTGGGTACACGCACGTACACGCAGATACACGCACGTACACGCGGGTACACGGAGATACATGCACGTACACGCGGGTACACGCAGGTACACGCACGTACACGCGGGTACACGCACGTACACGCAGATACACGCACGTATACACAGATACACGCACGTACACGTACACGTACACGGAGATACACGCACGTACACGCGGGTACACGGATATACACGCACGTACACGCGGATACACGGAGATACACGCACGTACACGCGGGTACACGCATGTACACGCACGTACACGCACGTACACGCACGTACACGCACGTAAACGCGGGTACACGCAGGTAAACGCAGATACACGCACGTACACGCAAATACACGCACGCACACGTAAACGCAGATGCACGCACGTACACGCGGGTACACGGAGATACACGAACGTACACACGGGTACACGCACGTACACGCGGGTACACGCACGTACACGCAGGTACAGGCACGTACACGCAGATACATGCACGTACCCGCGGGTACACGCACGTACACGCGGGTACACGCGGGTACACGCACGTACACGCAAAAACACGCAGATACACGCACGTACACGTACACGCAGATACACGCACGTACACGCGGGTACACGGAGATACACGCACGTACACGCGGGTACGCGCACGTACACGCAGATACACGCACGTACACGCAGATACACGTACACGCAGATACACGCACGTACACGCGGGCTACATTCGGAGACATACAACGCACGTACCCGCACGCTACACGCCGGTTACACGCAAGCTACACGCCCGCGTACACGCGGGTACACGCACGTACCGCAGCACACTGCACATGTATGCGTGCACGTGCGTGTACCGCGGTTTACACGTGCACGTTACCGCGTTATGCACATGCGTGCTACCCGGTGTTACCGTGCGTGGTACCCGCGTGTGCGCTGCGCGTAGTCTTGCGATGCACGTGCGTCTTTTTTGGTACGCTGGGTACCCGCGTGTACGTGCTGTAATCTGCGTGCACGTGCGTGCCTGCTACCGCGTGTACGTGCGTGTACCCGCGTGTACGTGCGCTGTTAGGCTGCGTGTACGGGCGTGACCTGCCGTGTAACGTGGCGTGTACCCGAGTGCTACGTACGTGTATCTCGCTGTACCCGCGTTTTACGTGCGGTATCTGGTGTACGGTACCGTGCCGTGTATCCTTGCGTGTACGTACGTGCATACTCCGTGCTACCCCTGCGTGTACGTGCGTACTCTCCATCGCTACGTGTACGTGCGTCGTATCGGTGTAACTGTGCGTGTATCTGCGTGTTAACGTGCGTGTACTGCGTGTTACGTACGTGTATCTGCTTGTTAGCGTGGCGCACTGTACTGCGTGTTACGTGCTGTACCCGCTCGTAGTACGTGCGTGTATCTCCGTGTACCGCGTCGTACGGTGCTTGGTATTCTCGTGTACGTTGTCCGCTGCGTGTATCCTGCGTGTACGTTGCGGTATCTGCGTGTTACGTGCGGTACCACGGTGTACGTGCGTGTACCTGCGTCTTACCCGTGTACGTGAGTGTATCTCCGTGTACCCGCCGTGTAACGTGCGTGTATCTGCGTTACGTGACGTTCGTGTATGCTGCGTGTACCTGCGTGTACGTGCGTGCTTCCCGCTGTACGGCGTTGTAACCTGCAGTGTACGTGCCGTGTATCTGCGTGTACGTGCGTTATCTCCGTGGTACCGCGCTGTACGTGCGTGTATCTGCGTGTACGTTGCGTGTAACCCGCGTGTTACGTGCGCTGTACCCCCTCTGCCTGCGTGCCTGCCTGAGCAGCCAGTTGTTACAAAATTTGTCTAGCTTAGCTTGTTTTCGTGCGTGACCCAAGTGATGAATAATAATTATAAGAAGGGTCTATAAGCAAAAATTAGTTTTTTTTTCCATTCAACTTAATGGTATTAAACCAAATTTTGATATTAATATTAGTTAACAAATGTCATTGCACGCTATAAATCCGCGTCTGCTAGCCGAAAATGAATCTTTTGAAAAATGATGGCATCTTTAGTAGCGGAGCGAACAATGACATGTGACGAGTTAGAAGGGTATATGGGAGTACACATTGAGCGCTGGGAGTCTTCTGCTGTTGAAGACGCACAAGATGCGCACCTGCAGCAGTGCGCAATGTCTTTTCAGGCAACCATGCGTCTTGCCATACATCAGCCGGCAGCGACCGCTAGAACGACGTCTTGCTCGATCTCTCCGGAAACTTAGTCAAGGATAAGGAGTTAGCTTTGGTTTCAGTGCTAACTTTTGGGAGTGCCGAATCCGGGAGGCGGGCATAGGGACACGGTGCGCGCGCGCACGTACACACACGCACCCAAGCACGCGCCACACGCGACACGTACGCACGGAACACGCACGCACATACATAATAGATATTATAACATATTATAATAAATAATTATGTAAATCAGGAGCTTAACTAAAGACAATATAATATATATTTATATATATATATATCAAGAGTAGATAATAACACACTATTATCTACTCTTGATATATATATATAACGGTGGT